AGCACATCGTTTCTGTTTCGCAATGTCAATAATGTTAACAACCAATCCTCGGCGATATCCGAAGCTGTGTGTGTGCAACAACAATTGTTCGAACATCGGTAGCTTAGTTCAGATACTTAATGCGAATTACAGTAGAAAAAGTACAAATATCAGACTAATTGGATTTATCGTGTGACTGCTCATTTAAAGTGGGCAGACTTGCACACATTCATATGTACATGTATATTTTTGTATTCTTTAGTTTTACATTAATTTATACACACATCCATTAATTAATGCCAAAGAGAAATCGCTTAGAAAATGCTTACATACATTTAACAGTGGGACACCGAATAGAGAAGGGCGAAGGACATATGTATATATGCTCGTAATGTAAACCTAGGTATTTTCAATGTATGTTCCATATTCTGAAAATAGGAGTAACACATATATTTCCAAATGGTTCGTCCTAGTTAGACGCAATCACTGTTTTATTCTCTCCAAAAAATCTGAAACCAATTCATTCATATGTGTCAAACTCTACACTCTAACACAAACCTGTAAGTTTATCAGGAGTACCAAAATATTATACATACTAATACAAATTTACTGGATGATAACATACATAGGTGTATCAGTGGATTAATACCGATATTTAATATTCTTACTATTTCTTAGCCATTTTATTTTAAATAATTTTCATAACCAATGCAAAACTTCGATGTTCAAAAAACTGTCAAAGTCTTCGTCAATTCTGTTGTAATTGTTGCGTAATTGACTAAATAAAGCTTCAAGAAAAATTTGTAAGAGATTACAACATTTCCGTATAAATCTATTGAAATTAAACTATCACGCATTTTGTTACACACATGTGTGTACTTAATATAAATTTTTTCCGTATGCCATTAAGAAATATCAATGCAATGAATAAATGAATTAAAAAAAAAATATTTAAAAAGTCTTCACACGGACAATGGATTCTGAGAGGACCGCCTAAAAATGCTAATTGAAACTATTCATATTTAAAAATAGTTAGTTTACATATTTGTTTACTTCGTTAATTGGTTGCTATATTATTAGCACTTTAATGTAATTATGGGCCGTTTCATGGTTCGCAATGCAAATTGAAAACAATCTCCAGGAAAACTCCTTGATATGAATTTTAATTATATATAAACCTCTGCCCAGAAAAATCCCATATCTAAGTCCATCGATTGTACTCATCAACATTGGGTAGAATTCTGTTCAATTGCTAGACTTACTTAATTGCCCTTTAATTAGTACTTGGAATATAAGCAACTGCTATATTTTACGAGTTGATGTCCTATGAGTTAACAAATCTCACATTTGGTTCAGAAAATTGACCAATTGATACCAGTTTAAAAAAGTTTTTAAAATATAGTTAGATTATAGAACTAAACCACTGACCTAATAAAATTACTCATTAGGACATCGTTCTATTGGTATATAGTTAATCTTTCTCTGTTGGATTTCAGACACGAATTACTAATTGCAAACTGATATATTTCCTTATTATAAAGTGTACAACCGGTCTAAACTCAATCACTAAATATGTAATAAATTCGCACTGATTCTGATTAAGGAATTAAGGAAATAATGCGAAATAAAATTTTGTTGAAATCGGTTAAGGGGCCATCCATAAAATACGTCACACGAATTTAACGCCTTTTTAACCCCTTTGATTAGCATACCAAATAGAGTTATTTTGCCTGTTCAATATCCAGTCCAGTATCAGTTGGTGCAACATATTCGGCAACGACTGGAAAATTATCAATGACTATCTTGCTCCAAATGTCAGCCAAACCGCACTTTCAAAGTTTCGTTTTTCTAGATATAAGTCAGTAGTTCGATTACTTGAATCAAGGTGTGACCCAAAATCATCATGATTTAATATAATATTACACCAGAAAGTTCGCGACTGAGAGGTGCACTCCTACCTGGGGCATTTGTAGCTTTATAAATTGCATCTAAATCAAAATCTTTAAAATGTTGTAATTTACTAATTTGTTGAATGAGACGTAATTTCATGGCGACTGTACTTAAGTATATAAATTTCGCGTTTGGACATCACAAATTTTGAAATGTGATGTCACAAAGCTTTCGATTTTGAATTATTACTATTAATTTGCATTAGTCTCTTCACAAAATATATGTATTAGACTTGAAATAGACAATTCCTTCCTGTGAATTAATCAACATTCAATTCAATACAAATCGCTTATTTACTAAGAAATAGTCATAATCCAAAATATAGCTCTTCCATAACGGAAAGTAGACCAAATGATCCAGAAACAAGAAACAGTTTTATTTCTTTGTCAGGGCTACTTTCTCAATAATATTGAATTATGGTGCTCTTTTAATAGAAAAGCGATATCTGTACGTGATATAAAATTGCAAATGGATGTTTGCATGTACAAATGTAAGTGTGTTAGTTTGTGTTAACAAAATACTATTTGAAATTTTAGTCACAACATGTCCATCAAAATAGTAAATACGAACGTTAAAACAGTTTCGATAGTATCCGTATTTACTTAAACATTCACATATATATAGTCATGTGTATACGTAATACATACATGTGTATAGACATACGCGTACATAAAATATCATATAGATACTTGTACGTATGCGAGAATATAACAGACGTGATGTGTGTATGTACTATATTCAAAGGACTGTAAATACTTTATTTACCCAACAAAAGGCATACATTTACACACATATATCGGTACATGCATACGTATAGGTTTATACAGTTTTCCCTCGATAAGTTTAAAATTGTGTTTGGTGGTATCAGTTTAATGGCGATTTAACAGTCATTCCTATGATTATTGTTATTCGAATGCGTTCTTTATAATCATCCCGACAATTTCAGTTCACATATATATGTTGACCATTAACTGTAAGCATATTAAGGGATATGCCATATACTGCACAACAAATTACTAAAGTCACTATTAATGCCATTTTGCAACATTTTCCATATTTTTACGTGATAAATGAGGTGCGTGACTTTTATTGTATAAAGATGTATAAAGCATCTACTATCGGTCTTAATTGCATAAATATTAAGTAAATTTAATTTAATAGCAAAATATTAAATAAATTTATCCTTTCGAAAAAAAAACTATCGCTTTTCTTCCGATATATATAATTTACACGATCAATTGCCTTTGAGGTCTTTTCCTGTGCTTCACTGTTTTTTCCACTGTTAATCCATGTAGTTCTTTGCATACAAATATAAAGTTAAATAAATAAATTTCTATGAATGGGTATGTGTACATATAAACAAGCATGAATACAATATGAACTTAGTAGGTGAGTGCGTAGGCAAAGTGTAAAAATAACTAAATATCAGCAATGCAACTGAACAAAACGAGACAGCAATAAGTGAAGTAAACGAAAAAAAAGCCTTTGATATATGGAAGTGTGTGAATACTAAGTAACCCAGTAACATGACCAAATGCGAAAGTAGCCGACTAATTGTCGTGCGTGTCAGCCTATTATACCTCGAATTATTCGTATATAACTCGAGGATTGCTACAAAGCGACAAAAATTTTCGCTCACGTAACTACCAAAAAAGAGACTGTTAGTTTCTCGGGCGTGGTACCAACTGAGGTCAAAGCGGGATAGCAACACTAAATGGTTTCTTTCATGAAAAGTATATAAGACGTACACAATTTATATAAGTACAATATTTATATGCCAAGCACTAAACTGAGGCAAAAACAAAAACATAAAATATACTACAGGCATAGCGAAGATACACCAACAATTCTTTAGTACATCGTCTTCTGCAAAATAAGATACTTATGTATAACCAACCGTAATTTCACCTCGCAGCTCCTATTTGAATTTTTATGTTTAGTTGAATGTTATACATTTGTAAATTCATATGTATATACTGCTGATTGTATGGCTCATTTTGTATGCGCTCAATGTAGATCCAACCAACGGCAGTCACGTCCCGCCCATTTACGCTCAATGCAGCACATGACCGACAAGAGTAACAGAAAGAGAAAGAGATACAGCGTAATGTTACGTCAAATACTGTGTGTGCGAAGATATAGACATGAGAGTCTTGTGTGGTAGTTATGGCCGTAGACAAAAGAGAGGGTAAAAAACGGACGTGCATCTTCTTCAAATAGGAATGACGAGCAGAGCGTGCAACTGCTTAAAATGCTACTGGTACAGCGAGTACATGACCGAGCAGCTAGTCAGGTGCACGACAGCGCCCACACATATTCAGATTCGAAAACATGCACAACTTTTCCCCCTAACTGGTTACATACAAATGGACAAAGACGGTTCTTAGGTAGGTAAATACATATGTACATACATTGTATGTTATATATGTATATACGCATTTGTACGTATGCACGTAGTTCAATACAATGTGATAGGAAGCGATTCACATGTTCATCAATTCAATCCGCGTTTACGCAAAAGCTACATTTCGCTGCAAAACTCTACATCCGTTGAAACTTCCTTCTCTTTTTCACGAAATCTTACAATTAGGAGTAATTGAAAGGATAGGACATTGAAATATACCAACGGTGATAAAAAAACCCAACAAGAGTTGAGGTAAATGTCACATTCAACAAGAGAATGTCTTCATATATACGTAAATATATTTGAGACATCAAAATTTTTGATAAATTAAGACGGTTCCAATTATTTATCGTGTAATATTGCAAATAAATATAACTGATATAACGCACCCATGTTCTTATATATACATATATGATAGTATTAACTCATCCCATTCGAGATAAGCGGACAAAATCCTCTATTTCATCCCCCACAATGCTACGCTCTGTCTACCGTTCCTCTCTTTGCTCCAAACTGCGCGCTCTCTAAGCCACTATGCCTTCGTCACACAACATATAATATGGTATGTATATACCTAAATGCGTATATATAGACATAGATATATATTTACATAGCTTGCCTAACCTCCATAGGCATGGCCAGATTTTCGTGTCTTTTGGTTTTATTTTGAACCTGAATACATCGTTGAATTATTCTGCACGTACTCGTCGCCAACTTCGGACGCACTGTGTGTATAGTCGCCAAGTCATACTGCGTACGTTTTATTCTCGTACACTTCCTTTTGTCGTTTTCGGTATTGCACCAGCGCGCATACTAACTAAACTGTGCCAGCGCCAGTCTACATCACTTTCTTTTGCAACGGTATCAACGGTGTGACCATAATCAGATTTTTCAACATAGAGTGCAAGTGTTGGAGTGACCGGTGGACAATGGCGGGTGGTAGTAGATAATCAACCCCAGTCATGCATAGTGGTAATCGCCAACTACGTGTAATTGTTGACCACAATTGCTAGCCAGATCCCATTCGGCGTTCAGCACTCACACGTAAACATCCCTGCACCAGCCTCTTCGGGCATACGGGACTTGGCTGAGATATCACAATTATAGACAAGGCATACACCGCAACGTGTTGCCATTAAGTACGCACGAAACGTACAACAACGTATTGGAACGTGCAGTTGGTGTGGACCGTTCGGTACGCGGACAATAAAACTCAAAGTCATCTGAACGCACGTCGCGTACGGTCCATACTCGCACGCGCTAGGATTCAATTGGAATTACTAATCCGAATTTGCCGAATTCGGCAGACACAAATTCGCATGTGCCAACCGGAAGGGCACACTAGCGCCAGCCGATAACCTTCATACGTTTCCTCATTGTAAATTAGACCGCCTCCCTCATTTATAGTTAAAATAACTGAGTGAAATTTTAAAAATGATTCTCTCAGTGATTAATGTGAGTGTTTATAAGAAAGTGAAATTATGAATAAATACAAAATAATTAATTAATTAAAATTAAATGTAACATTTACCAAGTTCATAAAATACAGAATTTGTTTATTCGTGTTAATATTGGAATAAAATGAATTGGAATGTGCCACAAACGAGTATGCATGGATAAAAGAACATGCCAATAGTGTTTTAATGCGCATCTTTATATGATAGAAAACGGTGTTCAAAATCACAACATATACGATTTATAAAAAATTAAGTAAAATTATAAAATTCATGTTTAACAGTGTGATATAGGTGCCATAATATTAAATACATATGAGGTGTGCATATATGTATTCACCTTAAGCAATAGTGATCACATATATTGTCGTATTGACGCAGTTATAAAGCGAATAATTATTGTATTCTCAGTCCAAAGCAACATTTATAAAAAGAATTAATTAATCAGCATTCGACATGTTGCCCTATCAGGCTGTTGCAATGGATTATGCTGGTTACCAGCGGCAGTCTACGCCCGGACATCCTGGAAATCATATGTCAGCTATGGGTTCTCTGAGCATGCCCGGTGTGGCGGCTGGACCCTTCACTCACTCATGGCTGGTGCCAACACAGGACCTGTGCGCTATGCCATATGGTAAAATGACAAGTCAGCACCAAACCGGAGGAATGCACGGTCCACAACAGCCCATCGAGCCAGGGTCAGTTTACAAATTATTTTAATCATTTATACTGAACTCTTTTTGTACGGAGTATTCCTCCACATAACTGTTTATATCAGTATGCGAATTAATATATCACTGCAACTTGGTTAAAGCCTAAAATTTGACAAGTGTGACAGGAGTAACGATGTAACTAGATTTTTAAATGAACATATTAAAAAGTGGGAATTTGTAAATAACGAAGAAAGCACGAAAAAGTGCACGGCTTATTCGTAAACCAAAGTAAGCAGCTTGCGCGCGTGATCGCATTTAGTTAAAATGTGTTAACCGGCCTTAGGACTCAGGCTAGGCATATTATTATTCGTATATAAGTATGGAGATCATTCCCAATTACATTTTAAAGGTGTGAGGTGTGTTTAATTGAGGTGCCAAGTTGACGGCGGACATAAAACATTTTAACGCATATGTATGTATACAGCGCCTTCTAAAAATATCAGTTATTTTCCCAATAGATAGATTCAGTCTGTCTCAGTATTTTGCCAATAAGGACGAGGGTTTCTATGAGAGTGGTTTTATGAAATCAGCTTCAAAATGACAACAAATTATCGAACAAGCCGGTGCATATCTATTTAGTAGACCTACATATTACATGTTTATATACTCAGAACATTAGAATAATTTCAAATTTCAAATTTCCGTCTTATAACGCACGACATATTATTCCCATTGGACCGTGCATTGATACACATAAGGTTTCCAGTGACTCACTTCCTTCCATGTTGAATTCTTTTTAGTTTAGTTTAAAACGCAAATGTTAAAATGTAAATGAAAATCAGGTCACTTTACGTCATTTTAAAATAAGTACGCATATTGAATTATATGTAAATATGTATACGTGTGTGTATATATATGTAAATGGCTGAGTTAGTCAATTGGCCCGTGGCAGTCACATGGACAAAATAACTGTCTGTTAAATTTGTCCAGTGGTTCACTACATTAATTCGTTTAATTGCTCAAACAGATTTTTAACACTTCAAGATACACATCTTTGATGTCAGTATTCAACATGCTTTCAAATTCTCCGCCAGGTAAAATGCGTTCCGGCAAGTTTTGAAAGACAAAACCCAAAGAAGAAGCTAATAGCCAACATCTCATCAAGAAAGGGAAAAGCCGCGAATATATTATTGTTGTTTCACATACCAACGAACTAAAAGTGAAGATATAAAAATATTTTGTAAAGGAACAGATGTTCACTGCCGAGAAGTATCATTATTATTTATGCTCAGACACATTTTTTACATAGGTTCTTTAATATAAATATATATATATATATGTACATACAAATTATTAACACAACGTTGGTACGTTTATTTATTATGTATGTGTATGTGCACTGCACTGTCGTCAGAACAACATCTTACCAAAGAAGCCGACATGAAACACAACCGAAAAGTCTAAAAATTCAAAAGGAAAGATAGAGGAGAAAAAAACTCATAAGCTGCAAATAAAAATGATCTATGCATATTCATAATTACAAGTATTCACAAAGTCCACATACCCTTATATGTTTGTATGTAGTTCATATGAAAACATCTCAGTTTGACATCTCGCAGCAAAGCCAACGCTTTTATGAATGACAATTCCGCAATGTTAGTCACGCTTGCAGAATGAAGATGCAAAATGTTGCACACACGTACATTACACGGATGTACATGCATATATACCGAAACGCATGCAGATGCACATATGAATGTCTGTGCATTTGTAGGAGGACTGCACAGAGAATAGTAGTTTTGCTGAACAGTACCAACAAAAGCTTATCTACTCGTATGCTACCTAATACTTGCCTCGAAAGCTTAAATTGTACCCTGAGATAAAACAAGCAGCATGTCTTGAGAAATTGTCTATACATTCAAACAAAATATTTCAATACAAATTTCTCTCTATTTGTTTTCCTTTATATACATAAAATACATATTAATTTTTAAACAATCCCAATAAGAATTCTGCGGTTTGAAACTATTTCTTAGTACTATTTCCCTTCACAACTCAAAAAGCGACAATCTTTTATTACAACGGAAGTTAATACTAATCGTAATAATACTAGAAGAGTCTGAGAAAATTAAGCCAATGTAATATTTATCCGTTTCGATTCAATATTTTGTCTAATTAATGACTGATATTATATTTACAAGGCATCGTAAAATGATTAATATGTAGGTTCTCACATTTTTTATTAATTCACAAAAAATCTTCCTTATAATATCGGATATTATATAATTATTGAAAATTCGTCAATTATGTCACGCGGATGTCACAAATGATCATTTGGAAAGAAGGGCGACAATACAGTGTTTAATAGCCGAATTGCATTTAAATGAACTTTACTTGCTATGTCTTGTTGAACCTTGCCATATATTTGTCTGTCATATGTAAAAAGAGGCAAATATTTTACCCATTGTTGCAGTTGACGTTAGAGGCCACATAATGGTGTGAAAGACGTCATCACTTTGTCAAAATTACAAACTTACAAACATCTATTCATTCACACGTTCACAGAACAAATTGCTGGCAATTATTTATAGATTCCGTCCAATGTTATTGTGATGCATTGACTTTAATCCCGATTATTTACTTTTTCTCCCCTCCGAACACTTTTTCTTTTAAGTGCTATTCGAGCTGAAAATTATTTAAAGTGAATTCTGGCAGACAATAGTGTAAATAACTCACATAGTTTATATATGTACCTGATATTTGTCAGCTAATTAGTCTTTTTAGAATTGGTATTTGAAAATTTACCATGCAGAGTTTATTCCAAGCTCTTCGCTAAAAGTGTTAAATATTTACTAACGATAATAGAATTCAGTCTTTCGCATTAGTTATATAGAAATTATGTATATCAAATATGCACAAGCATATAATTACTTTGGTCAGAGGAAAATATAAAACTTAAATATGTTTATTGTTAAGTTGGTCTGAAAAGTTAAAGCTCTTTCAAATTTACCTCAAAACATATTCAAATGTAAATATATACTCGTCTAATAAAAATTTAAATTACAATACGAATGTACATATATGTACAAAATATTAAGCTTCAGCTAAAGATATTTAAGTTATAAACAAATTCAATTTTTTTCAATATGAGCAGTTCTATTTTACATCGTTCTTTCTCTCTTCTGTGAACTTATGAGACGTGATGTTATGTTATTTTGGACAGGAAAATATTTTAAGGTGTTGGCAAAACTTTACATTAGGAAATGTTACGAAAATACTTCAAGATTCAATATTTGACGAAGTTGTCAATGGCTTACAATTCGGAATCCTATTAAGTTATATTATCGGTCATAGGCTCACTAAGTTTCATTACTATATTTTGCTTCATATTCGAAATATGTGTTTTAAAATCAATTTAGTTAACTCAAATGAAATATATGTATGTGATATAAACTCCACCAAAGAGGCTAAATTTAATACCTATATATTGGGTATATTTGAAAAAATCATCCAGTGACCATATTGACCAACGAAAACGGATTAAAATCAGCTAGAAAATAGGAAAACAGTATATCGGGTGCATTTATTCTAAGCAAAGGTCTGGGTTGATTGCGTTAAAGGTTGGCATTACCTAAGTATATTTGGAAACATGATTCCCCCGGGCCCGGAGTTCCAAGCCAGCTGCAAAAAAGTTTGCAAAAAAGTATCCGATAAGTTGTCCAATGACAAATATTCACCTCAGACACGTTTACGATGCAAAATTTTTAAGCCCATCTTACTCCACACAACTTATTGAATGCCACCAATAATAAACTAAAAATAGGAAGACCTAGAGGCAGAATTAGCAAAGAAGTTGGATTTTCAGACTAGTATCGACGCATTCACTGCCGCCAAAGCTCGAAAAGCTCACTTCTAAGTTCCGAATAATTAAAGATAGGAGAATTTTAAACTGTATGCTCAAAAACTTAATCATGATAATCAACAGGTTTTAAAAGATTTTTTACAAATCATTTAAGAAAGTCAAAAACTCAGAATTTTAAATGCACCTATACGTATATGCACATGATAGATATAGACTTCAAAAATATTTCTATTATGCTTCCGATGTTCATATTAATGAATTACAGTCATGTGTTTACAGGATAGTCTGAAAATTCTTGAACTCATTTTTTGAACATACCCAAAACAATATTTTTGTATCTGGTGTGGTAAGTTGGGTACAAAAGACACCCAAAAATGCCTTTTTCTCAAATTTCATTATATATATATTTACAAATTCTATAAAATATTAAAATTATTTTTTATACATATTAAAAATATGTACGATTTATAAGGAAAAAAGGTTCGACTTTTATCTCCGAATACCTTGGTATACATATGTGGTGGTGGGTTATAGCTAAAATACAAATCTAAATGAGTTTCAAACAGACACTTAAGGCAAAAACATTTATAATGAAGCCAAATGTTTAATGCATTGTAATTCCATTTAAATAATTTTAAAATTTTTGAGCATATCCAATGTAAGTAAATGAACTTCTTCTATATTCCGAAATCAATGAACTAACAAGTAAGGAAGGGCTAACATAAGTTCGGATGTAAACAAACATTTTATACTATTGTACCTATTGCAACTTGCAAGGATGAAAACCGGTGAGGGGAAAGTTTTATCTCGATTCATTTATTGGTGCTTGATTTGTATACTGGAAAGTGAAAAAGAAATTTTGTTATATGCAAAGTAGGCTTTTTCGCATTGTGACATAGAAATGTCAAAATAATATTATGTATCAAATTTGGTTTAAATTGGTCGAGATCCCGAAATAGGTTTTCACCTAAATATGGGCGGTGCCACGCTCATCATTAAGTTATCGCACTTTTAGTAGTTTTCATCATAACCGTAATATGGGGAGTGGGCGGGGTTATAATCCGATTTCCATTTTTACACTGTCGAAGAAGATGCTTAAAATATTTATGCAAATCAAGTTCAAGTTTCCCTGATTCAGCTTATGCGGTTTGGAAGATATATACAATAAATCTATTCGGGCACGGAGCGCTGCCCACTTTTAAAAATGTTCAAAACAAATGCCCCTCATCACTGTAATCCTCTGCACTAAATTACAGTGTTGTATCTTAATTTGAAGCTTAGTTATAGCGCTTTGTATGTTTTCGATTAATGGCGTTTTGTGGGCGAGGCAATGGTCCAATTCCGACCATCTGCAATACCACCCTTCCTTGGACGCCAATGAATATACATATGTACGTTTTGTAAGTTTTATTAAGATATCTTAATTTTTACCAAAGTTATTACTTGCATGGACCGACAGACAGATAGTCATTCGGATTTCAATTCGTCTCGTCATTCTGATCATTTATATATATATAATTCGATATCTATCTCGATTAGTTTTATGTGATACAAACAACCGTTAGGTGAACAAAACTATTATACTCTGTGCAACATAATGCAAGAGTATAAAAATTGGTAACGGTATAGCGATTATAAACTGTTTGTTACTTTGCTTGAAAATTTTTGCTAAAATAATATATATTATATTTTGCAAACTGCTGTGTTTTGTTAAATAAATCACAGGAATATAAATTATACATACACACATAATATGTATATTGGAATATTAGTGAAAATATTCTTGAACATGTATTTATAGGATTCTCGAACTACGAAAGGAAAAGTCCCGAGACGCAGCAAGATCTCGACGTGGCAAGGAGAACTACGAATTCTACGAATTGGCGAAAATGCTTCCTCTACCTGCGGCTATAACAAGCCAATTGGATAAGGCTTCCATTATAAGACTGACAATAAGTTATCTGAAATTAAGAGATTTCTCTGGGCAGGGCGATCCACCATGGACCCGAGAGCCATCGAGTAGTAGCAAATTAAAAAGTAAGTTGTTATTTAAAAATATAAATGCGTCTCATAACTTTTTGCAACCAGAAAAATAATACATTTTAAAAACGCCAAATATGTACCAATTCACCCAAGTAAAGCTAGGGGGTCCTATTTTATAAATACCTTGTTTTCAATAGACAAAGAAATCTAAAAAAAGAACTTTAATTACTACACTTATAACAAAACAACGTAATTATCGCTATTTTTTTCTGATTTTAAACATGGCATCTAAAGTAGTTCACAGTTGTTAAAATCTTATTATTATTCATAAATTGACCTGCCTTCTTGAGGAATAAAGAAACTCACATTATTACATTTGCACCGAATTAGTGAAAACTTGGAATGGATGGAATTTCCAGCGTTACGTTGCTCTCCCTTGTCATGTAGTGTCCATTTTTGAACTTTCCAATCAATTTGAGTTTGTCTTCAAAACATGAGTATTGCCTGCTTATTGTCATTTCCAATAGTTTAATACAGTTGGGGCGAATTTAACGCATTTTATATTTGCGGTTTATGTTTTATTTCTAAAACAATAACAGGCTAAAATATACATATAGAATATACATATCAATGTATATGACATATTATACTCGTATGTATATATTTTTTATGAATTGTGTTTAATTTTTACAATTTGAGTAAATTATTATTATTACTAAAAGCGGTTCTGTAGTTTAGGAGTTAACCCCGGAGAAACTGTGACACGCAATTTATATACATATGTATGTACATATACATATGTATGTGTATATAATTTTTTTTATACATGTGTAATTGAGGTTCTAAACAATTTGTGAATATATAATATAAGAAAATTAATATTGAAACAAACAACGGTAAAATAATCTTAGAAAGCAATAATCTACATGCATATGTAGAAACACATATATGATATAAACACAATTGTAGACATCGCAACGGACATAAAACTTTAAAAGATTTTGAGCTTATCCCTTATCATACAATTATGTAATAATTTCGACCTTATTTATTTTTATCAGGTGCTGCAATTCGACGTAGTCCCGCCGTAGATTTATTTGAGCAACATCAAGGCACACACATATTGCAGGTATGTATGAATATGTTTAAAAAATTAATTCCAATCAAATTTGCATAGTTAAATTAATTTGTATTCTGTCGGTGGGAATGTGTCTATTATTAATTATAACCAAAAACAAATACTTAGTACTAAATATAACCGTAGCGGGCTAAAATTTTTAAGTTCATGCATATTAGTTTTGGACTGAAATATCTATGAAGTATATGTGTATTTCCAATTGTACATGTTTTTAATTATTGAATTCTAGTCACTAGATGGATTTGCATTAGCTGTAGCGGCTGATGGACGATTTCTGTACATATCGGAAACGGTATCTATTTACTTAGGCCTGTCACAGGTAGAAATGACAGGAAGTAGCATATTCGACTACGTCCATCAGAGCGATCACGCAGAAATTGCCGAACAACTGGGGTTAAGCTTAACCAATGGCGGTATTGCAGCTGGTGGCAACGGTAGTGGTACAACTGGACTGGCGTCCCCCACATCAGGAGCGTCAGACGATGGTGTTGGTACACATGGAACGAATAACCCTGATGGTAAGCATTTGCATATGTACTTGTATTTGTACTAATATGTATGTATTGAAATATATGCGTTAAATGTGCAAAAGTACATTTATTTTTTTAAACTTATTTATATATATCTATATTCGAGAATAATACAAGTTACAAAAACTTGTTTGCTAATATAACTATTCTCGTATATTTCAGTATCTGCACAAATGACCGTGTCCTCCACCAGCGGATATAAAGGCTACGAGCGATCGTTTTGCATTCGAATGAAATCGACTCTCACCAAACGAGGCTGCCATTTCAAATCCTCTGGCTATAGGGTATGTACGAGTTCACAAACAAATAAATAAGTGTCTACATATGGTACTTGTATGTATTTATATAATTTATATTAACAATAACACATATTTTGTCATACACAGACCCACATATATATATCTACTGTAGTTAAATTGACATTGAAATACATAATAAGATGCTCCCCCTTGTCCTTTTAGTAAGTAGGTTTAGAGTTTTTGTTCGCTTTCATATAACAATCTACATACATATCATTCTATACGTAATTTTGCCATTTTGCCATCTTGCCATTGAATAGAGTTGTTACTTTGTGTTATGTTAGCTGAGGTGAAAAACAATGAGGAAAACTTTAAAGTGAAATGAATTATATCTACATATTTATATTTCACCATCCCGTTCCCCACTTATGTATCTGCAGGCAAACGATCAATCGGTCAGTGGTGGTAAAAATGGTAAACCAACGGGCACCAATTATTCGGTACGTATCAATTCAAATCAGGTGCAAATTCGGCTCTATTTGTTTCGCTTTTGAAAGTACTTGATTTCCTTATACATACATATGTGTACATTAGAAGTCCACTATCTCTCTATGTATATGTATATAACAGAAATGTGAAGTAGTGCATGCCACTTTTCGTTGATTTTAATAAATAAATTTTACTAACTTCTTTATTTTTTGTCGGTTATTTATTGATCAGATAAACGATCAATTGTGCGCTCCTTCGCATATGATATGTTATGTGTGCCGCACAGTACATTTCTCAAAAGGCGTATTTTCAGTTTAATTCTTTACAACATTGACCTATATTAAAAGGGTTGAAACCGTTAGAATTTGCTAAAGTCCCAATGTTGAAAGTCAACTCCATTTCTTATGTATGACTAACATATAGTAAAAAGTAGTAAATTGGTTTGCGAAATATTTGGTTTGATTGATCAGTTTGAATGTGGATAGCCATAAAATGAGGTTTTTCCGTTTTTTATTCTTAACACTTAAACGCCTGGCGGTTCATGTTGCTTTGATATATTAGTTAACTTTTAGTTCAGTCGCCACTTGTGTGTGAGCTTTGTAGTCACTTACGTTTCGACATGAGTAAGAGTGCATCGAAAAAATAATTTCAAGGAAAATTTTATACTGTCAGCGTTATTACAATTAAATTTGATGTAAGTTTTTTAGCAGTTTGCTAATGAGTATGGAATTATATGGATTTTTCTAAAAATATATACTTAAAATGAGCACCTAGTGGTTTCTCAAAGGACGAACCAATAAAACACCCTGTAAAATCTAAAAGAATAATTTTTAAGAAAAATCGTAGGACAAATGTTGTTTGTAACCGACAATTATAATACATATCAAAATTTTGAATGAATCGGAGTTCTCAGGCTTTTAAGGGTTAAGATAGTTTAAAAGTACAAGTATTATTGTCGATGTAGGAATTTTCTATTTTTCTATCATTTATGTACATACTTATGTAGTAGCGCATAATTTGGATGATTTGGATGTTAGGACGTATAGTGATGTAACAAGAAATTATGCGATAACCCGCGGATTTTACATAAAATCTAGTTTTGTTGGATATACAAATACATTTACATATGTGTGTATGTGTGTACACAGATTCACCTTACATAATACTCTTATACCATATACAAGGAATATTTGCCCAGTAAGGGCGTTCATACGTAAATATGTAGTCTTCCTCTTTTTGCTTTTAATTATGTTAGCAAAACTTTTATAATAAACAATTTTCGTTTTACGACAGTCACATTTATCAATCTCCTAACAATTTCTTAATCCGTTTATTTATTTCCTATTCTGATACAGGTAGTTTTGCTATTGTGCAAGCTGCGACCGCAATATACATTTTCACACACACGAAAATCTCAGCCTCCTTTGTTGGGTATGGTCGCTCTAGCGATTGCCCTGCCCCCTCCTTCCGTTCACGAGATACGTCTGGAATGCGACATGTTCGTAACCCGAATCAATTTCGATTTTCGAATAGCGCACTGTGAGCCAAGGTATGTTGGAGAGTACATATTTGTTTGTTCTTTATTATAAAGAATACTATATATGCAAATTTATACACATACATATGTTTGTATATACATACTCATATGCAATATATATATGGGCCTATATGGGTATAAAGAAATTGCATGCAACTTTAGACAACTTATATAATGGTTAACCGTTAATATGGACTTTTCCGATCTATAAAGGGTGTCTGATTTGCTGGACTACAGCCCCGAAGATCTTGTCAACAAGAGTATGTACAACCTATGTCATGCTGAAGATGCCATTCGGTTGCGAAAAAGTCATATGGATCGTAAGTGTTTATCTTCGTATGCAATTTGAAGATTTGCTCATAGGCTTTGTAATTCCAGTAATAGAAAAAGGTCAAGTTCTCACTGGGTACTTTCGGCTGATGAACAAGAGCGGCGGCTACACTTGGTTGCAAACCTGTGCAACGGTAGTTTGCAGTACGAAGAATGCTGACGAACAGAATATAATTTGTGTCAACTATGTTATCAGGTATGTTATTAGGATCTCTAAATGCCGTGTATAAACACGTACACACACACAAGGATAATTCAATGTTTGTAATTCACTTCAATATTTTAGTAATCGAGAAAACGAGAATCTCATATTGGACTGCTGCCAGATAGAACCTAGTGTGGATTGTATTAAACACGAAGAACTTGTTAGTGACAAGAACTCTGGTTCGCCTAGCAGTGATGCCGCACCCGAAGGACCAGCCGGTGTTGGTGGCAATGTAAAAGACTCATCGCCCAAGGCTGATGGCGACGGACACAACCAACGTTCTCGTGGACGGGGTTCTAGTTCCACTGTCAATACGAACACTAGCAACTTAACTTTAGTTAAAGATAGTCCTAATTCTGTAAGCGTTGAAATGGAAAATGGTGCAAGTTCTTTACCTACAACTGTGGCTACACCAGCAGCAACCCTTACCACAACAACAAAACGCAAACGAAAAACCAAAGTATCTCTGCAAATCGAAGAAAACTCAGACGTAAGCACAGTTAATGCATCGGAACAGGATACTCAACCGCAAACGAAAATGCCTACCATAGATCGGGAAGTGCCACGTAGCCGTTTGCCAACGACAGTAGAGCAAAACCCACAGCAGCCGCAACAAGCGCACATTTCCCAACAGACCCAACAACAGATACAACAATCACAACAACAGCAACCGCATTCTGAGGCTTCCGTGAAGGATTTGGAAAATGCTATGACCAAACACTTGCCCTCACCCGGAATAAATAATAGCGATGCTGCGGTAATTGCCACAGATTTTAGCACCGATGCTTTATTAAAACAACAGCAACAAAACGAAAAGAGCAGCACTATACAATGGATCGGTGCGCCACACTACCAACAACCAGCGCAAATGCCTGCCACCGCGCTACTGCGACAACTTTACGCAAATCGGGAAAGCGTCATAAGAGCTACAGCTCGTCAAACACCGACTGGCGTCTTTTATGGAGACCAACAGGGTGGACCTTTGCCCACTCCGCCAGGTAGTGAGTCGTCATATGACAATCACCAATATCTACAACTTCATCCCGCCCATCCACAAAAATCTTCTTCAGATGCATTCACAAACTTGGTGTCCACATACGGTGGTTACCACACCTCCATCGATTATCATAATGCTATGACTCCTCCTAGTTCAGTATCTCCGCGTGACAGCAACAATACTATAAATGCAACCAAAGCAACCTCTCATAACAGTAATGGATATGACTACACGGACTCACTACGTGTTCAGTATTCAGCACCGAACAACGCCGGCGAAAGTAGTGGCACACCTGCACTACCTCTCAAGCCACAGCCATACTCGGCCGCAACGGCCACCATGCACCATCCCCACCCAAGTGCCGACACCTCCAGCATTACATACGGCAACTTAGATCAATCACAATACTTTCCACCACATTCCAGCTTTCATTTATATCATAAAGGTACACCACCAAGTGGCTGGTACTCGACACCGTCATAGGTCAGCCTTCAGAACTGCAATTTGCAGCAGCAGTGGAGAACTCAGAAAGAACAACCATTACAACATGTTGAACTGCATCCGAAGGAGAGTTGGGATATTGTTGGAGCTCTTGGAAAAGTTGCCAGAATGTTCTTCAGTGCCCGTAGGGAAAATTAAAGAAAAGGGCGGTTCTACTGACTCGAAAGAAATTGCCTTGCTTGTTAAAATCACGAACATAGCGCAAAAAATAGCAGCCCAATTCAACTGTAATGTAATATGGTTCATACATACTTATACATATGCAAGTATGTCCAATAGAATGTAAGAAAAATATTACTTTTCACACTATTGTTCGAAATAATGTACTCTCCTCCTTCTTAAAAAATACGGAGTCGTTACTGAATACTATTATATGTACTTATGTAATTTTGATAATTTGCATATTTTGAATGATCATAAACGGGTATACCTATGTATGTACGAGTATGTATGTCTGTATGTAACTTTTGCGAAATTCTAAATTTTCTGCATTAAATAAATTATGTTTTAAAATGTACACATACATACATGTACGTACGTACATATGTCTACCATACTTGTATATGCATGTAACTCGACCATTGAATATTACATCTATTTAATCATTCAACATTTATAGGTACACATGTACATATTTTACTGTTAAATTTTATTTTCCTTTCCATTTGAATTTTGCTTTAAATATTAACATTTTACTATACACATGAACATTTTAGAAATCTGTAATAAAAAGTAAAATTATAAGTGTATTATGAGCACATTAAACATTTGTACATTTCCGGATTTAAAATATTTATAAAATGAAATATGTGAACCAACTAAAACTTGTATATTTTGGGATGCTATAAAATATAATTAAGGAAAATACTCGAAATGAACAGTTCCCAATTATTAATTGATAGCAAATAACCAATTGCTTATATAAGACTTAGATAGTGTGCCAATAATGCAAAGACAAAAATATTTAACATTTAAGAAATTAGAAGTGCATTTTGTATTGTTATTAATTATTTAAGCTATATACTAGCGATTTACTTAAAAGTTTATATACAATTAAGGATAGATATCTGCATGCCGCAAATACAACCCTTGACATAAATACATATCAATCGTTTTTGAATTTTGTTTCAATTCCGATTATGGAAGTACACCTTTCAAGTTTTGTGAATTAATGTAAATTTATGTATGTGTACGTGAATATGGTATATATTATATATGCATATGTGTGTATGCAAATGAAAGCATCCTTGTATATATATGAATAATACATACGAACGCTTAATCACAGATCCCATTCGACTCCCACCGCTCATTTCTAAATTTATTTCGTTAATATGCTTTTGCAGTTATTAAGGAGAATGTAAGTTGGCCTGTAAATACCTACTATATATACATATATATATATATATATATACAATACATATACCTTCATAACATACAATTCGATTGTATGTACATACGAGTACATATAAATTTGCAACCCAGTTAAGAGTAAAATAGGTAAAAATATAGGTGGATTTGGAAAGTCCACCATAGTAAATGCACAAACATATACATAAATAAAATAAATGGAAAAATTATGTAAAATTACATTAATATCATAAAGGTTTCGTGCCCCAAGCGGTAAACCGATTTCTCAAGTAAGTACACACTCATTCTATATATGTATGTATATGTTTAGATGCATATGTATATATTCCCGGAAAATAGATTTCTGAACAAAGAGTACATGAGTATTATTAATACATATGTACCTACAAGTATATGGGATGTGGGATAGTTGGTAGGCGATTTCACCCATTTTCACAATATCATAAAGTGGTAAAATGACCTGCTCATGTCACTATTTGTGGACATATCTTTTGGAAGTTTATAAGATATATACGATACATGGATGTGATCATATCATCATCATCAGTTCTGCCGACTATGTTTTGGATTTGAAATTCTAGGTTCCACTTATTACTGTCTACGACTGAGATAGTTTTCGAACCACCATTTAAGATTTGAGTGTTTATTTTTGGATCTCTTCCAGTGATCTAGCTTGAAAAACATTCAACATGTTAAGAGCTCTGTGTTTCACGGATCCGTCTGAAAACCTTTCGCCTGCAATTTAAAATAGCATAGCCCGAAATCGTGGGTAAAATGAATATGGGCTGAGGATGTTCTCTAGATTAAAAATATATGTATGTTTAACTATATAAAGTTCATAAGATTCACAATTTTAAGTAACTAACTTTTCGAATAATAATGAATTTTCCCCAAACTTATGTACATATATTTTCAATTTTACATCCACTAACACTTCATTAAATTGTTTGTATAGGTACAATTATTTTCTATTATATACTTGTAGTGTAAATCCCGAATTCGGAAGATGCTGTTCTAAAATTTTCGAATGTCCTCTGATATTCTTCCCATTCCATGGGTATATGGAGATTTACGAGTTGTCAAAACTCTCAGTAGAACTCCATAATGAACAAATACTTGGGATCGGGGTGAGGTCCATCCATGGTTGAGAGTACGCTATACTATTGGTCAACCCTCGACCAGCAGTGGACATAGACATATTGCGGAATCGACGTTCTAAATGAAACATCGTTTCTACGTCCGTACATTATTAAGTAGTTATCGACGCATCTCTTAACAATCGATAGCACTCGACTAATTCACTTTCCTATGTCAAAGCGAACAGCTGTTACATATTAGTATAGCATATTTTTTATATTATTGTAAGACAGAATATATGTAAAGTCAATAAAAACGGACATCTAAAAAAATAAAGTATATAATAACAAATACTATCCCAATGGAAGAAGTTGATAAAATTATTGTTCAATCGCTGAAGCAGATCGGTTGTGATATCAGTTATGATTGTACGATAGTCGATTTTACTCCAACACTTTTGGTGTACACAGTGTCAAAATGCTTACAAAAAATCCAACCATCTTCTAGAAATATACCACACACACTGCCTGAAGGTCTTGCAATGGCGCAGAGGTTCTCCATAGCTACTACATTGTCTTCAATCATATCTACGCTTAACTATCGTGCGGATATTGGATATCAAACTTTCCTATACCCCAATGAAGTAGATGTTCGAAAATTGTTAATGTTTCTTATTGAAAAAATTCCTCGCGATGAAGAAACATCTACAACCGGTGGCGGAAGTTTGCCATGTGATACAGAAATATGGAGGAAAAATATTAAAGAATCAATATTAGAAAGTTTGCACAAACCATGGACACCACAATTCTGTAGAAATTTAGGAACTGCTCGAAATTTTGGATGTAGTGGTCAGATAACCTACTTCAAACCACATCATAACTTAATTTTTGTTGTTGAAAAATCGTTATTTTTACAAAAAGGCTGCTGTTCGCATAAAACAATTACAGTTTTTCAACAAACAGCTACCCAAAAATTTGACCTAATAAGCACAATTTTACATCAGAACTCTTTTGATTTATACGTGGGTAATCCACACAGCAACGAAGATTCACAAAAAGTTGCACCAAAGCAAAATCAACTCGTGATCGCTCTGTCTAAATCGGAAAGTTTAGTCTTAAAAAATGTAATAGACGTATCGCCTATCAGCAACCTTACAGAAGAGATTAACAGTTTTAAAATTCAAAACGCTAACATTTTAACAATACGAAAAACGTTAACAAGAAATATAAATACACTTAAAAATGAACAAGTAGGAACACATAATGAATTGGAAAATCTACAAGCAGAAGTCAAAATACATGAACGCGCTTGTCTTGTTTTAGATAATCCAAAAGAAAACACATCTAAATTGGAATCTCTTATTCGAAGCACCTTAGAGCGTCGAAAAAATATGGATCAACAATGGCACGAATTTCGAAAGCCAATGTTGAATACTCTTGAAGGCCTAAGAACTACTAAACATTTACTAAAAACTAAGAATGTAAAAGAGTTTCAGGAAACAATCAAACAACTAGCTATGGTCTTAGAAGAAAAGAAGACTCAACAAAAACAACTCGCCATGGAACTGAGAATGATTGCAAATGATAGAGCAGCTCCCCGTAAAGAATATATAAATAGAATATTGGAGTTTATTTCGAATATACGAAAGCAACGAAACGATATTTACAAGGTTCTAGATGACACTCGAGATTTACAGAAACAGCTAAACTCTTTATCAGCCCAATTACAGCGACAATTTTGTTACACGGATGATTTGCTGTTTCAGACTGCTAAACATGATGCACATTCAAAAGTTGCGTACAAGTTTCTTGCCACTTTGCATTCCACTTGCAATGAACTTGTTGAACTCGTTTCAAAAACAGGAAATGTGACTAATACATCGCGAGAAATAGAAGTTCAGATAGATCGTGAAAAAACTAAGAATGTAACTGTTCGTTTACGACAAATAACAGAAGACATACAAAATTTTGGTAATTTAATTCACAATCTGCGAACTGAAATACACGAAATTGAAAACGCAATTTCGAAAGGTTGAATCACGAAGGATAATTACATATAGAATATTGAAAATCATATTATTTTTTTAAAAATAGCCATAGACACAATGTAATGAATATATTTCAATCGCTATGAATATATCTCCCTTTATATTGATATTTTATTAAAATAGTTTTAATATTCTTTACGAATTCGGTATTTTATAGTTCCAAGTTGTTTATTTATTATTAAAAGATTTAAATAAACAAATATAGTTCTTTATTAATGTTATACAAGGGATTATGTTTTTTGAAAATACAAATTCATGCTTATAGAAAGAAGTACATACGTAATTTATTGTTTATTGCAATAGCATATCCTACTCTTAAAGAATATTCCAATATTAATTTAATGGTTTTAGGTATAATGTCGAATTTGAACAGTTTACAAATTAATCACTCCTAACAATGTCAAAAATCATGATACCTACATTTCACACGCGCTCTATGTATGTGTGTATACAGTTGGATGTACAATGGAAACACTAAAACCATCGCTACTAATTACACTTATTTTCAATTAAACACCAATGGGTAATTTTTGAAATCAAATAAAATATTGTGCATGATAAAAAAAAAAAAAAACCTTTTAAAAGTGGCCACTCTCCAAATACTTTTTGAAGCTTTCATAACACTCTTCCGACGTCCACTGTTCAATAATAGTATCGAATTCTTCGTCTAAAGCATTATTTATCGTTTTCAGATAATTGTTTATAATAGATTTTTTCATGAAACGGTATGACTGGAAAAAAGAATATGTTTATAGAAGTTACAATTAATGTTAGGTTGAACAATAATTCCTTACTTCGGTTGACAACATTGCTATTTTTTTTGCAGTCAGTAAAGCATCGTCATTTACTTTACCAGATGCGGTAAGTTTGTGTACTAATCCAGATAAAGCCGATTCCGTTGAATGTAGTTTTTCTCCCATCCAAAAAAGTTTAGTTTTCTTTGAGACATCATATTATTCAATATTTATATATAATGTTAACCCAGTACTGTACTTACATAATTATCGCGAATTTTATTCATATTATTCCAAATGCAAAAACCTTCGGGCACTTGTCCTATTTTTACGTAAGGAGTCTCATAAGAGCCCTTATCACTTCCTATAACTATATCAAACAAAGGTAATTGCATTACGCCTAGGCCAATATTGCTCCCGTTTACTCCAGCAATAAGCGGTTTCGGGAACGTTGCCAGAGTCTTCAGATAGTTCCTTTAAAATTATTGTTCACTATATTTGTTTCAGCATAATTTTAATTCATTTAATCTTACTTAACGGCTGCTGCTAAGTGAACAGCGAATTGTCTACGTTTGTCTATAGTACCATGTGTTAAGTCAGTGAAATCAACACCGTAACAGAAGTTAGGTGCATTTGTTGTAATCACCACAGTATTACATTCATTATCCTTGCTTAGCTTTTCTAATATATCAACCAATTTATTCAACATCTGAAAACAAAACATTATCAATCTCATTCTTATTGCATATTATTGCATTAGCAATACAATACCTGAGCTGTGAAAGTATAATTTATTTTTGCCTTTTGCGTGTTAAAAACAATTTGCGCAACTTTTGCGATTTTTTTTACCACGACGTCTGACATATTTGAACCAGCCGAAGACTCTTCTTTTAGCTGTTTCGCTGAATTTTTGCTACTTACTCCAGTGACCTTGTTCTTGTCTTTCTCATCGGTATTAGCGGGGCTGCGAGTGCCTCTACGTCCCGCAGAAGCCACCACTGATTTTTTAGTGTCACTTGTTGACGAGTCATCCAAATGAGGACCGACTTTGGTTCTTCGATTTCCTTTTTGATTTGATTTTAATTCAGGTTTTGCAAATTCAAACGAGTTGCCAATACAGGTTTTCGGACCAATTCCAACACTAGATCCTTTATTAGTCATATTATTTTCATTTGATGTTTTGAGTAAACTCCTTTGGGCTGATTTTGCTCCGGAATTATTAGACGTTACGCTTGCAGTTGTGTTTGGTTGTACACTTTTGGTCAACATTGTTTTAGATGCACTTGAAGCTTTTGACACTGGCGCATCCAAACTAAGGCGCCGTATTGACGCATTACTAGAGTAAGAACTA